AAAGACTCATCATGCGCCTTCTCAGGAGATTCAGCCACAAAGGCAGGATCGTCTGGAAATCTGTCCATCTTGCCGTCTTTGTTAGTAGGACTCTCCACTGTGAGCGTCACTCGGGCTTCTGCACCATCTGGCACTACAGCTTCATCTTTGTTCCCAGAGTGAGATTCAACTTCCAAGACAGTTTCTGCACAAGCATCACCGTGAGCAACTATTATGTTGATTCTTTCAGTCTTCTGGTTCTGCGTGTCCAATGACTCATCATGCGCATTCTCAGGAGCTTCAGCTACAAAGGCCGGATTGTCTGGAAATTTGTCCATCTTGCCGTCTTTGCTAGCGGGACTCTCTACTGTGAGCGTCATTCCAGCTTCTGCGCCTTCAGGCACCACAACTTCGATGGTCTGCCCGGACTCAGATTGAACTTCCAACACATCTCCGGCAGATGCATGGTCTGGTATAACTACTTCAATTTGCTCAGCCTGCTGGCTTCGCTTGTGCAGAGATTCATCCTGCTCTTCTTGAGGAGATTGATCCGTAAAGCTAAGCTCTTCAAATCCCGCATGTTTGCCTGTTGGGCTCATCACAGTGAGGGTCATTCCAGCTTCTGCACCATCAGGCACGACAACTTCGATGGTTTGGCCGGAGTCAGATTGAACTTCCAAGACATCCCCAGCAGATGCATGGTCTGGAATAATTAGGTCCAGAAAGTCAGCGGCCCCAAAATCTGGCGGGCTTTCAGCATCCAAACTAAGCCCACCAAGATCAGGACTGAAAAGCATCACAGAAGGTTCTTGCTCAGTAAAGCTCACTTGCCTCTTTGGCTTCAATTTGGCTGGCTTGGAGTGTGCCTTGGAGTCCTGGTCTTTGGAGTCTGAGCTGGGGAGTCCTCTGGGTGCTTCCTTGGAGTCGCTTGGGAAGTCACTTGGGTCACTTGGAGGATCAACATCCAGCAGCAAGGAGTCACCGGGCTTGAAGCCTGCGGGGACCGTCACCCGAAACTCTTCATCCCCGACAACCGCGATGAAAGCGTCGCCTTCTTTTAAGCCATCAGGAATAATCACTTCATGAGTTTCATCAAAGCCATCCTCAACTTCTTCAAATCCTTCCTCTTCATAATCAAAGTCGCCCAAATCACCAAAAGGTTCTAGTTCGAAGGCCTGGGTGCGATGGCAGCTTCCGTCATCACAACTACGAAAGTGAAACACATATCCGATATAGACATTACAGTGCAAGACATTACAGTACAAAATGCATAGCTGCATAGTGCAAAAAAATGAAAAAAAAACAAGCCTGGCCTCGGTCTCAGGACCCCGCCTGAGCTCCCGGACACACTCAAGAACTTAATTCCGTTGCAGTAAGGGATGGTTAGAGAGGACGCATTGCAGTTGCAGCTTTTTGGCACACGCTTATCGAGCGATATGCAGAAGTGCGCACATGGCACTGTACAAGACTTAGCTTCAAAGTCAGCAAGAGTTGGAGAAACTTGACCAAGTCTCAAAACAGCAGCATGATCAAAGATGGACAAATCCAAGCCAGCCCACTAAACGTCACCTCAGTTGGCTTCAGTTGGCTCGTGGGTGTCGAAAGTGTGGGACAGCATTGTCATAGAGGATGCCACACATGCCGCATACCCTAACTTCTGTAGGGCCACCTTCACATCCAGTTCCTTCCTGTGGCTGGCGGTCAATGCCGCAATACTTGTCGTCCTCATCCCTACGCAGCAAGCGTATTTGTCCATCTTCACCCCAGGATGGCCCCCAAGAGTTCTGAATCAAGTAGAAATTTGCATTCAACTTCTTGTCTTTACCGTATCCCACCAGAGTAACGGCATGGTTGATGATATTATCTTCATCACAAGAGTCGAAAATTCCAGATTCATATGAACTCCATTTCGAGGCATCCACAGAGACTGCAACTGGGCCCCTTTCATAGATTGCAAGAAGAAGCGGTGAGTATGCATTTTCCGGCAGCCGCTCCCATCCACTCATGTACTTCATCCCAGGAGCATCCGAATTTGCTGCATGAAAGCCCACCGCAGCCACGTCAAAATCTGCGCTTTTTGACAGCTGCATCAAAGATGGTGGATGCTTTTCACACGTGCCGTCTGATCCCTCATAGGGCATGTCTGCTGCTGTTTGCACTGGATGTTCCATTGCGTACTGAAAAGCCAGTTCTACTGTAGCACCTCCGCATTTTCCGGTGCCACCACATTTCTTGACATTGGGGACACAAGAGACAAGCTCTTGAGCTGAGAAGCTTCTCTGTGTGGACTTGTAGATTTCAGCATGGCTGTCCAGCACTGTGGAAGCTGTCACTGCCCAACAAGAGCCACATCCTCCCTGATCGCGTACAGCTGCAAGGGACCGCAGGCTTGTCCAATTCAAGAATTCCTCTGGAGTGTCGGCAGGATCAGAGCTCACCTCAGACGCTTGTTTGTTTCGCGTTTCTTACAACCGCAAATGCTTCTCAGAAACTAAACACCCTCGCTTGTTCAGCAATCCTGATCATTCTCTTATTGTGCGTAGTTTGACTGCACGGATAGGGTATGCATGCAACATCATGCAACAGTTCAACATGTTCCAATATCTTTCTACACGACCAGGTCACCTGAGTCAACGCGGATGTAAAGTGTCCTCTTCGGGCAAAGCCAAACCAGCCTCTCATAGACTGAAGCTCTTCTTCACTGCGATCTGCTAAAGGCCCTGTTCCAGCCGTCCACAAGCGGCCAGGGCGCTGATTCAATCTTTCTACCTCAGCAGCAGACCGGCTGTAGTGGGCCAGGCGGCGATGGTACTCCTCAGTTCCTTTGACGTATTCTTTCTGGTATCTGTGGACGTACTCTGCGAACTGCTGCTCCAGTGCTTGATGCGCTGGCCGAAGCTGTCTTACCTCTAACCCAGAGACTGGGAGTAGAAGTGGTGCAATTGCTAGGTAAATATATGGATACATTGAGATCACCCCGCAAATCGAAGGTTCGCGGTTGCGGGACGAAGATTCGTTCCCAGAAGCGTCCAGAGCGGACGCCGAAGTTTGAACCGGAGACTGAGCTTGAGCCTGAAGAGTTTTGCAACCCACAAATTAAAGGAGAACGCAAACGCTCAAGTACTTCTCAAGTACTGAGAGATCCATTTAAGTGTACTTTAGGTGTTGGAAACTCAATGTCTGGTTATTGCTGCAACTTTTGACAGCTACACCATGGGGCACTGACGAAAGCTCAGACTGCATGCACGATAACTCCTGAAGAGCTCATAAGGGCTCACTTGCTTCGCTTGCTTACTGTGTGTGACATTGTTGCTCAATTTCAAAGCCAAACGTCCTCAAAGGAGGTAGCCTGCTTTGCCTGCTCTGCTTCCTAGCCACATCAGTTCGGAAGCAAAACAAGTCCTCCTGTTTTTGTAGTTTCCTAGCTGCTTAGTTGAACCTGAAAAAAAAGCGATATTTTTTTTACTTTGAGCCAGTATGGTAGGTAAAATAGGTAAATATATTTATTATATATATATAAGAATTTCTGTGACAATGACAGGACAATGACAATCAACAAGGACAATGACAAATGGCTACGGGGCTAAATGCGGGCAGGCTCACAAAGTGACCCAGACCTGGGAGTTGAGCATCAAACAAGAAAACACTGCAGAAAAAAGCTCTGACACTGAGGAGTCAACAAAGGCAG